CAAAAATGAAGCTCTGTATGCTTTCGTCTATGTGTTCGTACAGTGCGCGGTTATGATGGTGTCACCGGGTACCTTGTGTTTTTGCGGCAGTGGGTTTACGCAAACTGACATGTTTTTACAGCGAATGGCTTTGACGGTTTGCGGTGTTCTTTGTCTGTTTACTTGTGTGACACGAGTACGTGCTTTCAAATCCAGCGGTGGGCAATGGTAGCCAGAAATTCAAACGAAAGCTGACAAACAAACACGTGAAAGGGCACACCAACACAGGAGCCGGGCAGGGAACACATTGTCCAGGACTGAAAACACCCAAACCTGGGAACCAAAAACACCAACACAAAAGCTGGGCAAGGAAAACAGCAATCCAGGAACTGAAAACACACAGACCTGGGGGGGAGAACTCCGGGAAGGGAAAACACCAAGAGTGGGAACCAAAAAAAACAATACAGAAGGCGGGAAGGAAAAACACCAATCCAGGAACTGGAAACACCAAGACCTGGGAACCAGAAACACCACGGGAACCGAAAAAAACAATCTGGGAAAAGGAAACACCACGGGAAGGGAAAACACCAATCTGGGAACTGAAAACACCCAACCCTTTCCCCAAAGTGTCTTTTGTTTAAACGTTTTTCTTCAGATGCGTCCGTTTTAAGAATGTGTTTTATATATTCCTAGTAAACTTCTACCTTTATAATATCCTTATTCCTCGTGAATATTATTTGCCAGATGCTACAAAAATATCTTCATGGAAGACACCTCTATAATTGCCAAATGCCTTTTGTGAAAACACTTCTGGTTATTCAATTGCCATGGTGTCTTTACACAGAAAATTGATCTAAACATATCCATGTCAAAGGTACTCATTGTATATAGTTGGCTTTGGGAGGCTGAAAGTTAGCCTAAACACAATTTACAATTTACATGGGCTCTACCTAATAATACATAAATGTCTATTGTCTCTTATGCTTTACAGGGGAGGGGCGAAAAGCACGCGCGCCCTATATGGGTAAATATGCGTGTATATATAGTTATATATAAATATATACATATGTTCCACGCTTGCTGGGGACGCGATAAAGTGATACCACCTCCTGCTTGAACTGCTTTGAGCTAGTGATTCTTGCGCTGCTTGAGTCGCACCAAGTAACGAACAGAAACACCGAGTAACATGTGGCTGTGGGTCAAAACCTGGAGCCAGGTCCCCCTGTTTTGACCTGTCATACGGTTTGCGTCTGTCAATCTGTTGTGTGCAGAAGCACTACATTTCCTGTTTGTGCAACCATCGATCATGTTGCTGAGGATCAGCGTGGATGAACTCTTGATGTGTTAAATTGGTTGAAATCAAGGTCACGAAGATTCTGCCTGTGACTCTGGGCTTTGACCCACGTGCGCTTGTTGATCACTCCCAAAACAAGGACCCGAATCAAAAAACAATCAAAAAACATCCCGAACTTGCAAGGTTTCCGGGGTCTTTCGTAAATCTATATACTCCTACTTTCTGGGTCCGCATGAGGTCCCCATCGAACCCAAGCACAACAGAACAAGGATGTTCAGAATCAAAGTGAACTGAGTTGTTCAATAATGTAATAAACCACCGATCGAAATAACTGCAGATTCTCCTCACAAACCTCACCTACCAGGATGAGGGCTCTTGTCTTGGTCTTGAAGCTTAATCAGGAAACCATCTGGCTGTTTAATTCCCTCCTCTGGTGTTTTATGCCCGACAGGATTCGGGATGTGATCATGCCAACAACAAAAAAAGAAGTCACATGTCACTTCCGCTGGCCTCAGGATCGAGTCTAAGGATTTTCTCCACTGATTCTTCTCGATGGGCAAGGTATAGTCATCTTGACAGTCCTGTCCGTCCTTAGCAGGAACATGATCCCAAATGCTTAGAAAAAGTCACATGCTTGCACTGGTTGCCCACTGATATTATGAGGAAGACTAGGACCTTTTTGCCTGCCTTGCGATCTCAGAGCTTTCAAGTTGTCTGGAGGTTCTTAGAATTCAGAATGCACAATCCGTTTGAGATAGCTATGGCCCTTGCTTGAAACAAATTCCAGGGTGAAGATTCGAGTTTGAGGCATCTCACCCGCACCTGTATTGACTTGGAGTACTAGAAGGCCTCCCTATGTTATGTGATTGTTATGCTAGGCCTTGCTTTTAGGGAGGCTCAGTGCCTTTCTTCGGGGACTGAGCCATGCTCACCTGCCAAGAGTCGGAGGTCATAAAGCCTCAGTGTTGCGGTAAAACCCAACATTTGAAGAGAGCGAGAGAGAGTGTGAGGGAGAGAGACCCAGCACAGTGTGCCGACTTCGTCATCTTTTTCTGAGCCGTTGTGGAACGACACTGGGGTCACACAAGGTCTTCAGGTTTGGAGTCAAAAATGAAAAACGCATTGGCATGTTCACCTGCTACGATAAAGGTGGCCTGGATGAGTCAGTAGGATAAGAGCTCTACAAAATGACTTTCTCTATGAAAATTACAAGATGCTGCACCCAAGCAACGCGCCACAATGAGCCGCAAAAGGTCATCTCGACCTGGACGCTGCTTTCAGCACCGCTACAGCATCTATTTCAGTTGGTGCACATGTGTGCGTGCCATGCATTGACAGGGCCGTATGGACTGTGAACAAGACCTTAATATACCTAAATTCTGGATAGTTATATATTGCAAAACCAACAGTAAAAAAACAATTTAACAATATATATATACACCAGAGATTACCCAACTTGGAACTGCCGGCAACGGCTACACAGGGTGTCTGGAGTCATGAACTACTGCTTGGAGTCATGAGTAGTGCATGTCCCACTCACTCTTGGACACCAACGCAACTGTAAACTCAGTAGGAAGACACCCATCAGGGTGATGCTCTTTTTGGGCTTCTGGGGTGCAGCTGCCGTGCTTACCCAAAGTTACTTCCCAAAAGCAGCCAGATCTCTATGGATCAATTCCAATGATCATCCACTAAGAACGAGTAGGACAGGAAGCACTTGACCCACTCCTCATGCTCAGTCTTCAAGTAGCAGGCTTTTTCTCCGCCCAACAAGTCCAGTCTCGTAACCAAAGTCCAACATGGAGATTTGACCCAACTCCCCCAAATCCCCTTTGACATCGTTGACAAGGTGTTCGTAGATGTTCGTAGATGTTTTTTCACCAACATCTGATGCTTCTTGGATGTCAAAAAGCGCCTAACACTTTCTCGGACCAGGCACACGTGCTCTGCTTGAAGGAGCTAAAATCGCTTGGGCGCACATCCTCTGGAGCCTCACCGTGCCAAATCAGGCGCTATGACTAGCTTGCTGGAAGGGACACATACTTCATTAGACAAGCTACCAACCAAGTCGAAAGGTGGATCGAATTGGCCGGTATCGGATGCCACGCGCGGATCGATACCCGTCCCAGCCACTTCACCACCTCTACGGAGCTTCGGCCAGACAGTCCGGAGCCCCCGGTGGAGCGGAGCTTCGGCCGCATGGGAGCAACGTTGGCCAAACAGATTCCTTTTTATGCCGAAGAACCTCGCCCACCCGTGGTGTCTTCTTTTTGGGGGTTCGTGAAAGTCTGGTTGCGAGCCGCAAAGAGCCTCGCAGCGTTTTTCACAACTCCCCGCACGCGGCGGGTCGCTTCGTCGCTTTCGTCGCTTTTGTTGCTGCGTTGCGCCTTGTTCCTCACCGGCCCAGCGCTCGCCGCTTTGTAGGCCTCACACTCCGGATCACTGCTGTTTGCAAGCGGGTCACTGAACTAGGAACGGCTGTGGATTGAGGTGGCCAAGGGTGGGGGTAGGATTGGCTGGTGTGAAACTGGAGTGAAGCTGCTGTGGGAATCATTGGGATTAATGAAGATGTCAAAATGAAGGGCTGTGGTGTTTCTTGTAGGGTTTGGCAAAATTTGGACTTGGGATCCGTAACAACTCCTATAGGCTATGGCCACTATATATATTCAATTGCTGGCCCACTTCGGAAACAACCACAAAGATCCTGCAGTCGCTGAAAGCCTCTCTCCTTACATTTACATGGTCAACGTGTTCACCCAATTGACCCAGATATACCCAACAAAGCTATTGGAGCGGAGCCCTCAGAAACTCGAACGACCCAAAGGACTGGGATGGAGTTGTTTTTTCGAAGCGAACTGGACATGAAAACGTCAAGTTCGGCAAATCGCCAACAGAAGAACCTCAAGCGAATATGTGTTGTGCGGTGTGTTGCAAATCCGATCACCCAAGCGAACCACAGCGGTTAGTTTGGGGTGGACATGTTCAAAAGGCCACTGGATGGCGTAGAATCCCAGATCCAAATGATAATGGGGCAAATCCAAACGCAAGGCCCACTGGATGGGCTTTCACCCATTTCATTCTCTAGTCAAGTCTTCGCTCTAATACCCAGGCACGCGCGTTTCCTTGGCAGCCATTCCAGCCCACACCTCACTCCGGCCCTGAAGAGCCAAAGTGGCTGCAGATCGATCAGGGGTGCAAGTGATTTGCACCTTTTTTTGATGAAGGATCTATCCCCACCTGCCAGATATAGCTAAGAGAAGCATTATAAGATTTTCCACATTGTATATGTCTATAAATTAATAAGACTCTTCAGACTACAACTGCGAGCTTCCCATTGCCAGTGGGGTGAACTTCCAAAGTGGAAAACCTGATCACCAAGCTTTTTCACAAAAGCCAGTACCTTCCGCCACAGCACCTGTCTCAGAGCTGAAGGCTCCTCCACACTCCTCCCCCTTCGAATATCTTGGCTTGGTACAGAGCCAACATGGAAGCCAGTCTCAACAGCCTTCCGTCTTCGACTTGTGTTCCCATTGAGCCAAAAAAACCTCCTGTGAAACGTCATGTGAATCTTCTCCCAAGTTGTTTGCGACCCTCCACCATCTGACATCTGGGTGAATCCCCGGCCTTTCCGCCTCCGGCTCGCGGTCCAGGCCTCAGCTATGATACACGCTTGTCCTGGCTTTCAGATGTTGCAGAGCCGTTCAATTTTCCGCAGGTACCGTCATCACCTGAAATCTGCAGGTACGTGGAATCTGAGAGTTTAGAAGAGCCCATTCCCGGCACTCATGTCCCACAGCCTCAAGACAGAAACATCTCAAACTGCCGAAGCCAGTTACAAGACTCTTCCACCTCCACAAATCTACATTCAAAGCTCTTTTCATCTTTCGTCCAGTGCAAACCTCACTCAAAATCTGCATAAACTGTTCAATCCAATCTCCACTCATCCACCCTGACTATTTCCATGTACAAACTGCCCTCTCCATGTACAAACCCACACTTGGCTACCCTGCGGGAGGCCAAGCCAGCAACTGAGAAGTGCTCAGCCTGGTTCAGCAAGTGGCTCTTCGCCGAACACGAGGCTTGTCTAACATTTGCCATAGCAATGAGTAACCAGAAGATGTGATCTCCGAAAGAGATCGATGTGAAAGACATGCCGATGAATTTTATGCAGCAAAAATGTCCCAGAAATGTCTTGAAGGACATTGTTGCGTTATCGTACTTTTTCACGTTCCTTTTCTCAGGGTATGGCACATCGCTGATTTCTTTAGAGGCCTAGCTGTTTCATTCAAGTTCGAAGGCAACCCCCAACTAAGTCACACTGTTGATCTGAGGACCCCCAACGAACGAGAGCGCCCGGGCGAGGCGTTCAGAGGCAGCCAGCCAGTGCCACACCTGGCAGGAAGAGCAAAGAAGGAAAAATAGAACGCACATAATGTAGACTCTTTATGACCATTTGGATTGTAAAGCCTCTTCATGTGCATGATTTTATGAATCAAGAGTCTACATTAATGACATCACAAACTACTCCAGAAAAAGATCATACCAACCAGTGAAGAACACCAAACCAATAAAAAGGACTGAACGGAGTCGAACTTCACATGACTCGGCTCTACTCGTGTATCCTCAGACCCAGCTCATCGGCCTCCTCAAGGGGATCCTCCGTATTGGGGCCCCGCTCCACCTGGCGGAGACATGTGCGGCATCATACAACACGTGGGGCGGAGGCAAAACCATGCGGGGCCTCCCAGGAATCCACAAGGTCCAATCAGAAAAGGATCATGCGAAAGCGCTAGACATGTTGCAACTGAGGTAGTGCACAGGTGTTTCCAAAGCAACTGCCTTCCTCACAGATATGCCAACTATCACATCGGCTACAATCAACTTCTGTGATGGTTGGAGAAGTAGAAAATCATGTTCTAAGAACCCAGCAATGTCCAAAGAACCCAGTCCGTTTGTGTTGCATAAAAGGATTTCAATACACACTACTTCCAGGTGCACCGCCTACAAGATCTACCCCAAGTCTATGGCGCCGAACCCCAATGACTTCACATACCTCACCAAACGTGCCAACTGGATTGTTGTATCTTCAACACTAAGGCAGTGGGCGGGCCGAAAAAAAGAGAGAGAGAGAGAGTCATGGATTGAATTTGTCCTCAATGTTGTTTCAGTTTATGGTTTCCAAAAACCGTGGCTCTCCAGTGACCTCAAAATTGTGGGATTTGGCTGAATTAGGCAAGTCCAGTGTTTGAAACTCCTGGGGAAGAATCGTGTGCCCTTGCGGAAAAAAAAAAAAAACACATTGCCTTATATTGGAAACCTGAGTATCATATCTTGTTGCTTCAGAGACTGGTTGTTGGTTGTGTTAAATTCGTCTGCTTTAGACACCCGTGAAGCACATCTCTGCATAAAAAATCAGAATACTTCCAAGTCTTGACTACTATAGAAGGACTTAAGGACCACACCCTACTCCAATGACATCCCGTACTCCAGGAGTCACTGGCGCGGAACTCGCTTGGTAAACGTGAGTCGAAGAGGTGCTGCTACCTTTGATCTCTGCGCCCACAAGAGTTACGCCTTTCCCTACTCCGAGCGGTTCCACTCACCCAGAAGAAGCACCGCAACCAGGCACCACAAAATGATTTTGGATGATGTTCTTTCTAGCAGCTTTATCACTCAAGCAATCTCATCACCAACAGGTAAACTCCTGGTGGTTGCTGGTTGGTATGCTTTGTTTCTTTGTTGGATCCTACATATCCAGTGTGACAAACATGTCTTACCAACCTCTGCAAGCAACTCCAGGATCGCATCACTCCATCCTCAAATCATCCAAAAAAGCTCACAACATCAGGACATTGAAATCGTGTGAGATGATGGATACGCAGATAAACTCCATGGTCCATGAGCGTTTGTCCCAAGCCCTGACAGAATCTAGAAAATCTGCATGGTCGCTGAAGGCAAGAGACTTTTGTGAATTGGCTTCCGACTTTCAATCAATTCAACCCTAGGGCAGTCTGGCACAGTAGTCAACGTCTATGCTTTGCAGAACAAAACAGCGCAAGCCAAGTGTGTGTGCGTGTGTGTGTGTGTGTGTGTGTGTGTGTGTCTGTGTGCGTATTCCCTCAAAAACCATGGGGGGCTCTTCCGAGTGGAGCCTGCCGGGCTCGAGGATGACGCAAAGACCCGAAGACGCAGTGCTTGTGCAAACCTACCTGCTATATGACCGCACCCGGGGATCTAAGTGCAGCTGGGTCCTATGCTGCTGGTCCCTGCTTGTAAGTAGAACAAATCTTGCTGCCTTTGCATCCGTTCCTCGCTTTGCTTTGGATCATGCGAGGCAGTTGAGATTTGGAAACGTCGTTGTTGAAGTTGGGATTTGGACCTTTGAGATGTGACAACTTCCTTGAGCTTTAGGACGTTTAGACACTGCATTTACCTGGACTCTCAGGTTTTCTTTTACCCGGGTTTCGTCAGGGTGATTCCAGTTGTATGTATACTTTATCTTGAGTATGTGTGGGTGTGTCCCAAACTCTCCGATTGCGGCCGTTGCCTTCAAGAAACACTTATATTATTTATATAGCTATGCAGCTATGAGAATGACGAATCGAAAATTATGTGGCTGTCTGGTCGTGGAGGCACTTAGATTCGCACCAGACAATGCCAAGCGAGCTGCATTAGTTGATTTCTTGTCTTCTTCCTGTCGTGATCTTGGGCAGACTCCCAAGGATACTCGAGTCAATCTTGGCTTCACCCCCACACGCTCTCAAAACCAACATGAGCAACAAAACGAAGAGGACAAGCTCAAAACAAAAGTGCTAATATCAAGCCCTGCACTAATGATCAAAAGTAAACCCTGCCTATCAGCAAACTGGTAAGTCATCCCAAAGATTGATCTGAGGGGGGGTTGTCTCAAAACGAGAATCCACGACTCAAACCAATTTGATCATCCATCATTGTATAATTGTGGCGTGAGTTTGGAACATAGTTGAGCATTTCATGAGCCCCCACAACCAGCCGTCCTCAGCGAGGTCCCGGAGCAATCCATCGGCCTGGGCGACGCGACCGAGCCGAGTTGCCACGCGGGCCGTGGCAGGCGGGAAGTCCGGTGGAGAACTCTTCAGATCTCCATTGGGTCCTCTGATGTCAGTTCCTCATTGAACAAGATTACATTGAACTTCCCACTTATCTCAAATAGTTTTGAGGGCAGAATTCAACCAAGGGCTTTTGGGGCCTAGCGGCTAGACCTGCTTTTGTCAACCATTTGCACGCCCAGTCTATTTCGAGCAAGGTGAATGCCGCCGACACCCTTCTCGACATCTCGACCGCTTCTCCACCCCTGTTTTTCAGCAGCCAAAATCTAGATCTAGACAGCAACTCTACCGTGGTGGGAAGACTGCAATCTGATGCATGCTGCCGGCAGTATCTTCCTCGTAGGGAAAGACATATGGATCAACCGAGAAAAGGAATGCAAATTCTGATCTCAAAGACTCAATGACTCACTTGGTGCACAAGCTCTCAAGTTCCCAGGGACCTATGAACCATCCCGGGCCTCATGTACTGCTGGAGGAAAGCTGCTCGAGGGCGATGCTGCCGCCTCGTGAAAGCCACGCTGAGTCAAAGCCGTTGACGCATCCAAAGAAACAGAAACCCTCTACCAGGGATGTCGAGCAATTCCCTGCTGTTGGAGCTAAGTCAGAAAAGTTTTGACTCGCAGCCAATTGCTTAGATCCCCGTCCAAAAGGATCAAATATTGATTCATCTGCTCTGAACATGATGTCCACTGGAATCGCGACTTGCGAGTGGCGTCGCAGGTCTAGTTATGCCCCTTAAATGGGCAACTACTTGAGCCATGTTAAGTGGTTTCTAAAGTTTGTCAGCCATGAAAAGCGGCGCTGACTTGTTGCGTTGGTTCTTGAATTCTTGTGCATGGCTTCGGCTTATGTCACACCTGTTGGTGTTTAGAGTTCTCAAAGCTCCCCTCTTCATTCTTTTAGAATCAAAAGAGTTCTCACAGCCAAATGAGTCCTTTTGGTTGCGATAGTGCTTCTTGCACTTGACCAACCGTGCGGAAGCATCAACAAAGCTGGGGGGACATGGGGCTTTGATTAGGAAAACTGCCCCGAACCATCGTAAACTTCGGATCCTTCTTCCAAAGCAGTGCTGGAGCCTCCCTCCCCTCGAGCCTTTGGGAGAGGCAAACGCGGAGGCCTCGAAACCAAAAACCGATCCTACCCCATGCGCCCACACGGTAGCTCCGCACCATCGAAGTTGCCTCTGTGCTGTATGTTGTCACAAAGTTCAGGTGCATCCGGGCTATTCCCTGAATGTTCATTGGGCAAACAGCCAGAGCAGGGATCCACTGATTAGACTAGACCAGAGTCACTCTTTCAACCACAGGAAGCTTCACCGTCACCTGATTCAAGGGCCCCATTTCAACCTTTTGTCAGCCTCGAAGATATGGAAGGATCCTGATCCTGCGTTCTCCTTCATTTAAAAAGAAAAAGGAAAGGAAAAAATACGTTTCAACTTCAATAATTCTTCTCATAGGTTGACCTGGAACCCACATCCAAACAACAGAAACAAGAAGATTGAAACCTTCGAGCCTCCAGCTTGAGCATGTACTAAAATATGATTTGACCCCCAATTTCCACGCCTCCCAAACCAGTGCTAAAGTCCCTAAAACCATACCAAAGATCCCAAAAGGATCATCAGTCTGTATCTGCTTGGATGAAGACTGGAACCTCTGCTCAGAAGACTTGACATTTCCTTCCCCATCCGGTACTACAATATAGGGCCAAGACAGGCCACGATGGCATCTTGTTTGTTTGCAGCAAAAACATTGTAAGCAACTGCAGCTCAAAGTCTAGGTATGCCACATTTGCATCTGTCATTGATGGACAGGAAATACATCGATGGCGGATGTGCTTTGACATCCGTTTGTCCTTGCTGGGGTGCTGGCAATTGATTACTTAAATGGAGTGACAAAAATTGCATCCTAATCTTCGCCACTAGGAGCGGATGTTTCAAGTGTTTTTCTAAAAGATGTTAAGTTTCATGTGCATATACATGTAATGGCATGTAAGCTAAGAGGGCAACTTCTGGCAAACACTTTCGTGCAGATGTCTTCAGTTGTCCAAGACCACGAGTTGCTGAACGGCCCGAACGGCAGATGGAAACAATAAAGCACACCAAGTAAAGCACACCAAACTTTGGAGTAAATTTCATGAGGATCATGAGGACCAAAAGTACAAAAACACATTGTAGGTGTCCCTGCTAGTTTTTTCCGTTGCATGCATGTGTCGATGAAAGAAAAAAAAAATTATATTGGAGTAAAGAAACCGAAGATTGAACCCAAAAATTGAAGCTCAAAAAACCCAGAAACCAAATCTGTGCCCAACTCGCACGTGAAGACAGTTTTCAAGTGTTCTCTTGGCTGTTTGTGCGCACACATGCCCTGGAGTCAAGTTCGCCCGTGACGTTTTCAGCGCGAACACCACAAGCTTATATAAAACCTGCAATTCATCAGAGCCAAGTGCAAAACACACACGCATTCAATGTAAATTCGACATCCGAAGTGCTTTGACATCTGCCATGGGTTGGCCGTGGTTGGGGTGGTCTTTGCAGTCGGAAGGACTTCGTTCCATGAGCAGCACTCCGCAAGTTGTTCGTGCTCCGAAACCAAAAATGTGTTGCAAGTTGACCCCATGGAAAGAGGGTTGAGAAGGTGATGGGTTTGCTGATGGGACAAGTCATGGGTCAAAGTCCTGATGTCGAGTGAACAGGCCCCAGGTGCACTGCAACAAAGCAAATAACATGAATTGGCCCGTGCCAGGTCTCTGAAGTTCAGTGAGGCATGGAGGGTCTCAACTTCCTAAGTCACATTCAAAATTCAACACGCAAAGTCGACGCTACAAAGTGCCCCTTTCACATTGAACCAAACACACATGAAGTTCGAAGCCAGGACTGACAAGCGAGTTTCATATATCGAAGTTTTCCTCTGCAAAGAGCTGAACAAAGTGAAACTTCTTCCCTGCGGAGCATTCTTGTGATGACTGTGCAAAGGTGGATCTGGTGTTGAGAGGCAACGCGCGCATTGCTTGAAGCCATCTCTGGCTTCGGTTTGCGTGGCTCCGTGCCATTGTTGCCCTAGTGCAACTGTTGATGTGGGAAGAGGCGGAAAAATGTGGCATGGCGCAGGCTGCTGCGGCGAACATGTGCGTGACTGGTTTCTCACCTTTTGCTTCTCCAACCAGAGAGCTTATGAAAACTGCAGCCAGAGCAGCACTTTGAATGAAAAATGATCAGCATGACGACCAACAGTTTTGTGTAAACACGGATGTGGCAGCTTCCCTTTTCGATCCCGCTCCTTGAGCCAAAGTCACAGTCGGCTCAGACTGTCTCAAAGGTTCTCAAAGCTTCTCCAAAGCTTGTCAACTCTTCCTAAAAGAATCAAGATTGTTCACAGTCATCTCAAACCTACACAAAATTAAATAGAACTATCTCAAGCAGCCTCCATGCACACGCTGCGCTACCAAAAGGTTCTGTAAGCATTCTCTAGCCACGTCTAGCCGCACCAAGCCGTCTAAAAGGTTATCCTGCCAAGTTGGTCAACGCAAAGCACCAACAAAGGACCACAAACCAAACCAAAGTCAGCTCCAACCCCAAGTCATCAAAAACGAAAAAGTACCTAAGAAACAGGCACTAGGTGATCCACACCTTGTACACACTGGCTACGCACTGTCTTTCACACCCCTTCTTGGGTCAACCCCTTCTTCACTCATTCGTTTCTCTTCTTCTTCTTCTTGTTTTTTTCTTCTTCTTCTTCTTCTTCTCATCTTCTCTCTTTCGTTTCATCTGGACAACTACGGATCAGACAACAACTAAGATCCATAAACCTGTCCTCGAAGCTGATCTCAATGTCGATCAAACTTCATCAATCGAGAACTAAACTCGAGTCGAGCTCAAGCAAAGTTTCCGATCCAACAAAGAGTCAAGTTCGACCAACAAGAAGCACGCAAACAACCAAGCCAACAAGCAACAACGCAAATCGAAAAGGATCCCTCAAAGACGAGTCATGGGACCTCAGGGTCAGATCCCTTTGAGGTGACCCTCATGTCCTCATCGGGATTGCAGCACACTGAACCAATGATATTTCTTGTAGTTCTCCACAAAACATTCTGACTGTTCCAACAAGAATTGCTGCACATCTCTCCCAAAGCCGACCTGGACCCAAGAGGTGAGCTGCCGACTGCAGTGCCATGATTCAGGCTGGGTGCTGTCAACTGGGATCTACACCAAGATGGACAAAGTTTGCACATCAAAGAGAGTGGAACATTGATGTGCGCGGATCCAATCAGCGATTCCACCGGCACATGTTGGCGCTGCAGAAGCAAAAGAAGAGTCCATCTCAAAAACCAAAGTTTCAGTCTTGCATTTCATCCACCGTCCGGCTGCGGAAAAAACAACTGGGTTTTCTTGGAAGAACTGGCTTTCAGCACCACGCTCAGACTGATCAGAAGTTGCATTGGAGGGGAGAAGGCAATCGAAGCTTGCCAAACACATTCGAGTGCAAAAGCGGTTGCATTCACGTTGGGTCAGAGTTTGTTCTTGCGCGGGAATCCTGCCTGATGTTTTCAAATTCTATTTTTTGACAGCGCTCACCCAAAATTTCAGAACACGTTGCATCATGTGCAGAATTGCCGCCCAGGCAGAGTTGAGTGTCATCTTCGAGCTGTTTGGGCTTTCCACCATGAAGGTGATTACAAACGTCCTAAACACAAAACGAAAGCGCGTGCAACATCTCACAAGCAACGCGAAAGCACTCGCACACCTTTTGCGCGCACTCTCTGGGCCTTGAGCCAAACTGAAGTTCAAAAGAGGCTATGAGGCATTCCTGTAACAAACGATTTCCATGCGAGATACCGAAGGTATCGAGCTTAAAGCATTCAAACAAGCACAAAACTGCTCCAGAAACATTCATACTGCAAAAGTTACGAAAACTTCTGTTCACAAAGCTTCCAAACATTGCACATTCCATGAGCTATGCTTTCCAAAGCTCTCAAAACACTTCGAAACTCAAAGTTCCGGTACGGAACGCTTGCTCAAACACTCGAAATGCAAAACCATGCACTCCAAAAGCACAAACCTCACAGCTACTGCACTGGCCTGCACCTCGCTACCTCACACACTTTCACACCCCCTTTCAAGGTGAGGCTCATTCACTCTGAGCTGGTGGTGACTTGAGTAGAGGCGGTGGTTCAGTCCTCTCAGCCTTCCAGCACTCTTTGGTAATGATCCTTTCACACCCTTTGCACAGTTGAAGGGCACCATTCCACGACTTGTCGAACTGCTCCTCACGATGTCCCAAGTGGTAGTCCCACTCACACTTCCGCGAGCCTCTGAACCACTTCGGACTTCCCTTCTCACATGACCTTCACCATCATGTTGAAGAGGCAGTTTATGACATCCGGTTGGGTGGTGTTCTCGAGAACGGTGCCCTTCTCATGATGTTGGCGTGACTTTTCATGACTTCGATCTTTTTTCCGGAACTCCATCTTGTTCGCCTCCACTCAGCATCGATCGTGCCATTGATGACGTCGTCGTTGTTGGCCATCCTGGAACCACCAGTCCCACCTGTTCTCAGGTGTCGGCGCCTGGATGTCTGCCATCGGTCTTAGCTGGCACCCGTGTGCCTGGAAATCGTTTCACCTGCAAATTTTTTGGGCCTTTGAAGCTTCTTAGTGACAATAAAGCCTAGAAGGCACCAGTAACCACAAGGTGGAGGCCATCACTGCTGTTGACCATAAGGCTTTCTGGTAACTGGAAGCTTTCAGCTTTTGAGGTGTGCATTCCTGGATTTGCAAGGAAGCTTTTAGTGCCTTGAAAGCAAGAATTGCCATGAAAGGATGAAGGTGACAAGATGTCACATCCTCGAAGCCTTTTTCATGCTCAGAAAAGCCTGCTCCGCTCATGCAGGTTGTAAGCCCAATGCAAGGACGTTGAGTGCCTTCCGGTTGTCCCTGACGAGAGCTCGGAGGAGCTGGAGTCAGCGAGCAGTCCATCCACAGCGTCGGAACCCAAAGAAGCTTCCTTTGCAAGATGAGGAAACCATTGAGGACCAAGATGAAGAACACAAAAAAATTGTGCGGCCTGCAATCAAGTGCAGAGACACCTGAAAGACTCTGCATCAGGGCAGCTGAAGAGCCTGCAATCAGTGCGGTGGCGGCTGAGACTGCCAAAAAGGATTTGCAAGGAAGCACCCCATCATCCTCTAGAAGGAGGTTCTTGTTGCGTTCAAACCGGGTTTCCGTCTGTCTTGGGGCAGATGTTCCCAGACGAGTCGGCTCCTTCAAGCAGGAATGCACACCTCAAAAGCTGAAAGCTTCCAGTTACCAGAAAGCCTTATGGTCACCAGCAGTGATCACCTTGTGACCTTGTGGTTACTGGTGCCTTCTAGTTGCTAGAAAGCTTTATTGTCACTAGGAAGCTGCAGGTGAAACCATTTCCAGAAAAGCTTGAAGGAGCCGACTCGTCTGGGAACATCTGCCCCAAGACAGACGGAAACCCGGTTTGGACGCAACAAGAAGAGGATGATGGGGTGCCTGTTGATGTCACGCAGTTCGTAACAAAAAGCTCAATCACGGTGACATCCGCTGTGGGAGGACCAGAACGTTTTTTGCTGCACTTTTTTCCCCGTTGATGGAAAGATAGGGCAAGGAGGGCCTTCCCGGAATGGACTGAGCTCTCACGCATGTTTCCTTCCCTCCACTTTCTCATCCACCACGCCTCCCACACAGGCGGACACACCATCATGTTGAAGATATTTTTCATTGTATGTGTGGTTTTGAGCAGTGTCAACCTCTCAGATGCATTTCAGGCACTTCA